TCCTTTACCTCCCTGTTTCCTTTTCATTATCCTGGTTCCTGTGGTTATGTCTGGATACATACTCACTTAACAGGGTTTGATTCTAGGATCCACATATGAGGGAAAACATATGTTGATTTTTTTTCTGAGCCTGTGTTACTTCACTTAGTATAACAGTTTCTAGTTCCATCCGTTTACCTGCAAATTTCATGATTTCATCTTTCTTTACTGCTGAGTAAAACTCCATCATATAAATGAACCACATTTTCATTATCCACTCATCAATTGAGGGACACCTAGGTTGCTTCCATCTCTTAGCTATTGTGAAAAGAGCAGCAACAAACATGGATGTACAAGTGTCTCTGCAATAGGATGAGTTCTTTGGGTATATGCCAAGGAGTGGTATAGCTTGGTCAAATGGTAGGTTCATTTGTAGGTTTTTAAGGTTTCTCCACACTGCTTTCCATAGGGGTTGAACAAGTTTGCAGCCCCACCAGCAGTGGATGAGTGTTCCCCTTTCCTCACATCCTCTCCAATATTTGGTATCATTTGTTCTCTTGATCTTAGCCAGTCTGACTGGGGTAAGGTGAAATCTTAAAGTGGTTTTAATTTGCATTTTCCTAATTATTAGTGATGTTGAACATCTATTAAGATGTTTGATGGCCATCTTTACTTTATCTTTTGAGAACTGTCTGTTCAGCTCCTTAGCCCATCTTTTAATTGGGTTGCTTCTTGTCTTGGTTCTCTGTTTTTTGAGTTCGTTATATATTCTGGTTATTAAACCTCTGTCAGATGTGTCGCAGGTGAAGATTTTCTCCCATTCTGTGGGTTTTCTGTTTGCTTCCTTGGTTGTCTCCTTTGATGTACAGAAACTTTTTAGTATTATGAGGTCCCATTTGTTAATTCTTGCCCTGGTTTCCTGAGCAATTGATGTCTGGCTTAGAAAATCCTTTCCTACACCTTTATCTTGTAGGTTTTTTCCCAATGTTTTCTTCTAATAGTTTCAGAGTGTCAGGCTTTACATTGAGGTCTTTGAGCCATTCGGAAAATTGACTTTTGTGCAGGGTGAAAGATAGGGGTTTAGTTTCATTTTTCTACAGTTAGAGATCCAGTTTTGCCAGCACCATTTGCTGAACATGCTGTCTTTCCTCCAGTTCATGTTCTTGGCCCCTTTGTCAAATATCAGGTGGCTGAAATTGCATTTACTCATATTTGGGTCTTCAATTTTCTTCCATTGGTCTATGGGTCTATTTTTGTGCTGGCACCATGTTGTTTTTATGACTGTAGCTCTGTAATATATCTTGAAATCTGGTATAGTAATTCCCCAGCATCACTCTCAGTGCTGATTGTTGCTTTGGCTAGCCAAAGTTTTTTGTGCTTCCATATGAATCTTTGGATGGACTTTTCCAAATCTCTGAAGAACGTCATGGGGATTTTTAATTGGCTTTGCGTTGACTCTATAAATGGTTTTTGGTAGGATGATCATTTTCACAATATTAATTCTTCTAATCCATGAGCATGGGAGGTACTTCCACCTTCTGATGTCTTCCCTCTCTCTCGTCCTTTAGAGTTTTAAATTTTTCATTGTACAGGTCTCTAATGTCTTTGGTCAGGTTTATTCCAAGATTTTTAATTTGCTATTGGTATATAGGTTAATTTTGTAACCTGCCACTTTACTGAACATGTTAATAATTTCTAGGAGTTTTTGGGTTGAATTTTTGGCATTCCTTAGATAAAATATCATATCATCTACAAAAAGGGATAATTTGATCC